GGGGGCGGCGCAAGAAGGTAGCAAAAGATGGAATTCATTGCTTAACTTAGCTTTATCTCAGGTCAGTTAAAGGAGAATTAAATGACCTGATAAATACTATTAGAATAATATTACTGGTGTTAAACACTACCATCTAATAGAAAGTGAGTCCCATAATGTGAGACCCACAAGTGGGGTCCATTTTTCACTCGTGGTACCCTTTAATATTTTTCATGCTTTTAAGAATTTCAGATTTGATTGATTCTTAGATTTTGGCATTATTTTGTGTAAGATTTGATGATGATATGATTGAAGATTAAATGACAGATAATATTATCTTTTAGGGAGGTTTTGCTTATTTATAAACTTTTTAAATCAATCAATTTGATTTGATTCTTTTAAAGTCAATTTTTAGCCACTTTTGGTAAGTTGAAAATTGATGGGATAATTGATTTGAAGAAGTGATTGTGTTGGGTTGTTCGAATTTTTCGTGCTTCTATGGAATACGTTCAGGTTCATCTGCTCTTATACGGAAAGTTTTCAAGGGTTAGAATAGTTAATTTTCGAATCATGATTTACAGTTCTAAGTCTCATTGAGGTGTTAAAAAATTAAATTGAATACACAAATCACAATTTAAATTGAATTAAACTATTGTTATTGTTTGCAATATTTGTGAGAATACCTGAGATTTCTCATCCAATTTGTCTCATTAAACATGAGGGACATAGAATGTTGCAGCTCATGATGTTATAGTTGCTAGTTTTATAATCGGCAGAAGCCTAAAATATTAGAGTCTGAAGAGTTCCTAACAGAACTCGAAACTTAAAACTTCTCATCCGCCAGATGGTCTAAAAGTAAAAGTACAATACTACTAGACTACCATCTTGGTGGTGAAGTACGATAGAGCAAACTTATCTCTCTGTTTTTTGTTTTTGTTTTTTTGTTTTAAAGCTAAAAAGGGAGCAAATTTCTTTGAAATTGGGTACTATTGATTTTCCTGGTACAGTAGTTGTGATCGTTTGAAGAAAAAGGTTGGTAAAATATGTAAAAGTAAAAGAAAGAAATAATGGAAGGAAGTCCCCACCACAGCAACCCCACGCTTCCAGTGCGATTGATTGATGATACAAACACACATACACTGTAATTGTTTATTCGACTCCACCAGTCCACCACAATTATCAAATTATCAATTACGCACTACCAATAATTCTCTCAAATATAAACCTAACATTTAATTAATTTATCTATTGTTAACTGAACAAAACCCATGCAACACTAACTCTCCTGACTTAAATTATTATCATTATTATTATTATTATTATAATCCCTTTCAACTATTAATGTTATATTTCATTTTCCAACATTAGTGCAATTCTATATATTTCTTGGGTGTTAATGCAGTTCTTTATTAATGTTATACGCCCAAGAAATTCAATGTTACGAAATGTAAGTTAGAGAAGTACAAAATATTACCACAACAAAATGGTTGTTGTTGACAACACCAATTGCAATAACCTTACGTGAAGTATTTGACAAAGGGAATATAAGGAGTTTTTAATTGTTAGAAGTGCATACTTTAGTATTTGTTTCAATTGGAACCTCCACTAAAATTTTTAAAGAATTTGATGGAAAAAAATTTAAGGTTTATGAAGATGAAATTAACTTTAATTAGAGATGTGATGGTATGTTTTTTTTTTTTTTTGAAAAATACTTTTAAATTATAGTTAATGTGGGTGCATGTTGTTGTTTTTTTTTTTAAAAAAAATACTATTTCTATTTATAGTTAATGGGAGGTATCTTAATGAGTTTTAATATAATTTTAATGCAGGATAAAACTTAATAAATATAAATTATGAATTAGCGTAAGTATTAATAAATTTAGTGAGTGTAAATTATTCTTTTTTTAAAGTGCAAATATAATTACTCTTAATAAAGAAGGAAAGAAAGAAATGAGGCCCCTCCTTAGTTCTAGTCCTTGACATTGGTGAAGATGAGCGCAACTTAAAATTTAGGGTCCGTTTAGTTCGCTGATTTAAAATTTTAATTCGAGTTAAGATATAATTTTATGTTAGAGATTTTTACTGTAAAAAAAAAGTTAAATGTGACTATTTATGAGAGTTTTTTATTGTAGTAAAACTAGAATTCTAAACTTAGATAAGTGAAATGAACATAACTGAAATAAGTTAAGTTTTTTAAATAAATAAAATTGTATATTGCCATAGAGTAGTGTTCACATTATTAAAGCAGATACTATTTATTTAGCTAGTTCTAATTATAAATTTTTATCACAATATTTACTCTTATAAAAATTTAAATTTTTTGTTTTGTTGCAGTAAATTTTGTATGATTTCACTTTTTAATTGAGTTGTTCGAAACGGGCATTAGACTTTTTGTTTGCGTGTGTGTACATATATAGTGCAAAGTACTGGGGGTTTCTCGTCTGCCCTGAATTGACGGAGCCAAAACATACACACAGACATACCCAACCAGCTAGTTCCCCAGTCAGTCTCCATTATACAATCATATCATTATTATCATTATCATTATCATTATTATTATTATTATTATTATTATTATTATCATCATCATCTATTAATATGAAGTAAAAGCTCTCAGTGATCTGAGTGATGAGAGTGATGAGTAAGAAGTTCCCTCCAAATCCAATCCTATTATTTCGAATGAGAAGAGAACACAATCACAGGCACATACAGAGCGACATTCAATCCGTGTATTGATTGAATTGAAACATGAAAATGGGTGGTGGTTTCGTGGTTTGAGAGAGAGAGAGAGAGGAAATGGAAATGCCAGATCAGATCTGTTTGTTGCTCAATTCCCGTTCCAAGGTCAGGCTCGATCAGATCATCATATCATCGTCCCATTCCTAAGTTTTATAACATTTTACTCTTCTTTTATTTATTTATTCATCCATCTATTATTACTATCAATTATTGATGGAAAAGAATGAGGAGCAACTGGGTGATAGATAGATGTTTCTATATACATACATATATATATATATATAGATATAGATATAGATACACACACACACATACATATGGATGCTTGAGAAAGAGACTGTATATTGAATTGGAATTGCAATTGAAATTGGGTACGTATATATCGATTGAATGAATTATGGGAAACGGCAGCTCCAGGGTGGCGGTGGGATGCTTTGTTGTGAAAGTGAAACAGAGGAAGGAAGGACTTGATTTGTCGGCAGACGAACATGAACACGAAGGATTGGGATTGGGATTGGGATTGGGATTGGGTCATTCCTTCTGCTATGTCAGGAGGAGGAGGAGGAGGATTGGATTTGGGTCTGAGTCTCCACCAATCACATCCTCCTCAGCCTCAGAGAGGTTTGATTCAAGCACTCTCACCCTCGATTCCGAAACCACCCTCAGCCTCACCGGCAGCTCCTTCCGCCACAACGATTTATTCTTCTTGGAAGATTTCCCACATGCTGCTGCTACCAAATCCAACAACACCTTCAAAACCATTTCTGGTGCCTCCGTAAGCGCCAATGCCTCCGCCGTTCGCACCGGCAACCAAGCTGCATTGCTCGCCTCCGACCTCCAGGAGCCCGCCGCCTCCTTTGAGAGCACCTCCTCTTTCGCCGCAATCCCTTTGCAGCCTGCTCCCCATGGATTTATGTCCGGACCCCTCGAGAGAGCCTTTGCTTCCGGTCCTTTAGACAGAGCTGCTTCAGCTTTCATCACCATGTCCGGTCCTATTGAAAAGGGCGTCATGTTGTCCGGTCCCATTGATCCCGCCGACAAGTCCAACTTCTCTGCCCCGCTCGCCTCTGGTCGCCCCAAACTCCGGCTTCACCGCCTCATGCGCAGCGTCAGCGGCCCCATGAAGAACACTCTCTCCCGCACCTTCCCTAAGCATTCAATGGCCGCCTCTGGCTGGATCCACCGCTTTTTCTTGCACCCCATCACTCAATTGCCTTGGCATCCTAAGGAATTCCCTCGCGACTCTGATCCCACCGATGCTTCTCAGGTTGGGGAGTATAGGAGCACTCGCAACTTGCAATGGGCTCATGGCAAGGCCGGCGAAGATCGGGTTCATGTCGTGCTTTCGGAAGAGGAAGGGTGG